TTAATTTATTGTTAGAAAGAAATTATACATGTAATGTGACCATTTTAAAAGAAGTATTGAAAATAAAATTATGAAAAATAAAAATTTAATTTATTATTGGAAGGAAATTGAAAAATGCTAAAATAATTAATTAAATATATGTAATGGATAAATATATATAAATTAGAAATCATATAAACGTAGTATTTTTAAACTAAATACATCACATAACTAATTGGATGCCATGCTCAATACAATTTGGTCTTTGATTGTGTCACGCACATGATTCATTTGTCTTGATCTAGGTAAATTTAAGGAGAATGTCTCACCAACTTGATCATCATTGTCTTCGTCAATTATACTTTCAAATTGAGCTTGTATGAAATCTCTATCAGTTTTAGAATTTCTTCGGAGAAAATTATGTATAGCCATTGTAGCACAAACTATTTGGACTTGAGTTTTGGATATCTTGTCTAAGATGCGAAACTTATTCTTCCACACCCCAAAAATCCTTTCTATAATGCACCTCAAACTTGAATGATAATAATTGAAGACTTCGTCATAATTTTTGAATCTCGATTGTCGCCTAAAGTCTGGAAGGTGATAGCACTCACATTTGTGTGAACCAAGATATCTTGGTGGAGTTGGATAGCTAGCGTCAACCAAATAATACTTCCCTAATAAATCATGAAATTATGTTGACATTATGAAATTAATGCAAATATGAAACGAATTCGATGTAATTAAAATTGAAGCTAATGAAAATATACTTTGAGGTGGATGAGGGAAATCCAAGGCTGGAGTTGAGACACCAGTGTTAAGCACACAAGCATCATGTGCAGTACCTTCCTATCCCACCAACACAAAAGTAAAGCACATATCCCAATCACATATAGCCATGACATTCTATGTCGGATATCCCTTTCTCTTGATATATTTGTCTTTCTTCGAAAGACTCACCATACATCATATGTGAGTGCCATTAATTGCTCCTATTGCATCATTGAAATATGGCAAATATCATTTATCGTTTTTTATTTTTGGCTGAGTTACGAAAAACATAGGATTGAGTGGTTTGATATATTCCCTGGATAGACTAAGGTAAGCCTGTAATACTCTATGAAAATACCTACTTACAGTTTCTCCTGAATAATGAAACCTTTCTTGAATCATCCTATTACATTGTCCATGACCAACTGTGTTAAAAAACATAGCAACAATTTCTCCCACTCCCAGCTACTTAGAATTTTGTAAACCATGTTCAACTAGTTTAGAGTATAATCGCACGAACATTTCTTTTTCCACTCGAAACATGTCATAACACCGGACTTCATGCTCTTGCAAAATTTCTTGCACCCATAAATTACATGTTTACTGACTAGTTCTATGTGGCTTTTTGCACACATAAGGCATCACATATTGACTCACTAATATAGCTACCTCTTCATACTGTGTTATCTCTTCATCTAAAAGGGAAATTAATTGAGACTATTCGTCTTCCTCCGACCCCTCTTGAGACTGTTCATCTTCCTCCATCTACTCAAACATAAATTGATTGTTTCAATTTGCCATAAATAATGTAACCTATGAGTATGGTTAAATTCAACTGTAAGCATTTTTTTAAGTGACAAATAAATTCTTTTGAGTGAGAAATAAATATTTTTTTTGCTATTAAACATGCAAACACATAAAAATCAGTCTAAAAACATTCATAAGCTGCAACTACCATTATAAACAACACATATAACTTAGAAACATTGAAAAACATTCATAATCAATCAACAAGTTACATAATTTCATAATTCCACGAAGATTAACTTAGAAACATACAATAATAACTCTGGTTCGAGTTAGACAAAATAAAATTATAATATGCATCCTAAAATATAGTTCAAGCAGGGGGTTTCAGCCATGATAGTGGGTTGTATGCCATTTCCTGTAGCCATGCAACCAAGTATTCCGGTTGTCCTTTTAGTGAAACAACCATTTCCTGAACACTCTTGTGCAATAGAGATCTTAAGCACCAGTTTCGAAAATCAGAGTTACTTGTAATTTCCTCAAGGTAGAGCACTTCAATCGTAATATCAGAACTTGATACCTCCTTTATTTTGTTTAGAACTGTCATTCTATTCTTAGATGCAGTAATTATTGCACTAACTGAATTTGTGATTTGTCTTGAGGTTGGAATTTTTTTTCCTTTTTTTTTTCCTACTAGACCCTTCATCTCTCTTCCTCTTCCTATGGCTTCCTGAACCACTGGGTGCAGCATTTGCTCTTAAGTTCACGCTTGCCATCTCATTCGTAACTCCTACAGTAGCATTTCCAAGATCTTCTTCGCTATCCCCCAATCCTTGAAGTAGATCTTTATTGACTCTATACACATTGTCTTCGTCATCATCTTGTGTTTGAGGTTGGGTTAAAGATCGTGCCAACATATTCTCTCCAGATGCTATCACACCCTTGAATATCATGTTTAATTCATGAGCAAACTTCAACCTATGATACCTAAGTTTTTCATACTAGGGATTCTCCTGCAAGAATATAATCAACAAAAATAAAAGCCTATAACCAAAATAACATAGCCCATAACTCAAGATTAACAATTATATGCCAGTTTTTTCTTCTTGCACCACTCATTTGTTGCTAGCACTGTATTGTTTGTAGGGTCCCAACCTACACCAATCTCTTTGGTTAAATCAACCCATGTCCTCTAATCCTTCCTCAAGCTATCTAGCCTATTTTTCAATTGCTTCCTCTCATATGATTTTCCTGTTTATGTATTGAATGCAAAGTGAATGTTGTTTCACCCATTCTTTGAAAATGATGTTCCTTGATGATTTTTCCGGTAGATTTGCTCCATGTATTCTTTAAGTAACAGGTCTATGGTGCTTGTATCCCACGTTACCTTACCTTTTTCTTTGCTCAAAATTCTATTGGAAAATGTCAATCAACAATGCAGAAGGGAGTTACGGTGAACGAGAGCACTTTTCTTCCAACAATGTAGAAATATTATACAAATTCAAAAATCTTAAGTAAGAAGCATTCCATAAACAACACCAGTGGTAGCAATAAGCATTTCACATGATTGTCATCAATTTAAGGGGGAAAAAAAACAAAGAACCGTGCAGAACTTTGCACGAGTAAATTTCAAAAGAATGGACTTCTCTGCTAGAATGATAATGCCAAAACCAGAACTTTGCAACTAAAACATCGACATCAACAAAGCATGTAAAAGCATGTAAAAACTGCTGTTGGTGCCCCAAAAGCCAAAATCCCACAAAACCACTTTAATAGCCATTCCAATTGACAGGGGAACCTATGAAAAGTAAAAGAAACCTGCATCAATATTTAGCAATCAGATGAAAATATAACTTATAGGCAGCCTCCGGCCACCATATCAGTCGCCGTTGAAGGAGAAAGGAGAGTAACCAGAATGGAAGAAACAGGAAAGGGGTAGTCAGTTTAGTTTCTTCCTACTTGGTTCGACAACCAGACCAGATTAATTGAAATAAGATTAGATCAAGAGCAAGAAACAAGAATAGTTCACGGTCAAGCTCCTAAACCAATAAAGCTATGGGTCTGAAAATTTAAAGAAGTTGCAGCTAAGAACAAGCAACAGAACGAGCAAATCTGGGACTAAAAAAATTGATCTCTTACTAGGTGAACAAACGAGACTATCACCAGTGTAGATCAGGAGCAGACGAGATCCGGCGGTGGCGACAGAACAGACGGTGACCAATGCTTGCAAACAAACGGATGAAGAAGAAGAACCAAACGAACATATGAAGAAGAAGAAGACCACAGTCCAGCCACTCCCACACAAGAACCAGAACAATGATACGGTGGAACACGGTGGAAACACCCCAAAAGACAGCAAGGGCACAATAGGGATATGGTAGAAGACGTTGGCGATATGGCTCCCTTTTTTTTTTTTTTTCCAGGGCGTGTTTCAAATGGAAGGAGTGTGTTTGTCGTTTTTTTTAACTGAAGTGAGAGAAAATTCATGCAAGGGTCAAGTAGGTAAAAGATTTTAACACCCAATTAATGTTCTAAGGGTATTATCTAACATACTCCTCACAAAAAAAAAAAAAGCGCTTTCTTTCAGCTTCTTGCAAAAGTCCATTTCGGCCCCAAAAGTCAGATAAACCAAACGTGGGCCTAAACATCATTTTTGAATAGCCTGTTAACTTCTCTTATGGGGATGCACGTTTGGCTGCCCAAGCATGATCCCAAACACAACCTTCTCCGGTGGGGATGCACGTTTAGGGGCCCAAACATGATCCCAAACCCAGCCTTAGAGTTAGTTGATCAGCTTAATGTGGCAGAACCCCAAGTTAGATTTTGTTATAATTTATAGTTTATATTTAATTTTTTTGCCAACATATTATTTATAATTTATAATATTTAATTATGTATTTTTAATATTTGTAATTTTTTTCAATTATATATTTTTATTTACAAATTTTTTTATAAAATTTTTTATTTTTTAAAATATATTTCAGTCATTAAATGACACTTCTTTTCATTAAAATAATTTAAATTCATTATGTTATGTAAATTCATCTTATCATTTTTTATTATTTAATAAAAATCATACCTATTTTTATGATTTTATAAACTAAACTTACTTATTCAATTATAGTCCAAACAACTTTTCTATTTTTACAAACTAACTTTTATAAGATTCAATCCAAATATAAATTATATTATCCAATCTAACTTTTACCAATTTAATTTTGAATTAAAAATAAGCTATTTTTTCTACTGCTAATCCAAACAGACTCACTGTTTATATTTAACATCCATGAATTACTGGGGAATAATATACGAATCTTGTGTATTTGAATTAAATTAACAATACTGTCCTTGGCGGGGGAAAAAGAATTAACAATACTGTTCATACTGTTCACAGTTTGAAACATTGCACGGTTTCAGTGTGTCACGCTTTCACTCTCAGTCTATGTTTTTGAAAAAAATAATAAAGAAACAGGGTTTCAGCGGCTCCAGCCTCCAGCAGCCGAGCCACCACCTCTTTGGCCCTGTTCGGCCGCCACTCTGTTCCTCTACTTGTTGAACCGTGAGCTTCGAGGCACACAGCGAATAGATGGAGCCTCATGCTTCGAACCTTCTGGACGAGGCCCTAGGGTTTCATGGCCACGACAAACCTCGCCGTCTGGGCCCTCGGTTCGTGCTTGTTGAAGATTGCGTAGAGACCAGTGGGGCTTTCGTTCTTCACCACCTCGTCAAGCGCTCTCTCTTTTCTCATCCTTCCTCTGTTGTCATCTTCGTTGCCTTCAATCACCCATTTGTTCACTACGACCGCGTCCTGAGAAAACTCGTCTGTTTCCTACTCCTTTTATCTCTTTCCTAATTGTAGGTTGCTCTGTATTCAATTTATCTATCAAATACTGGTGGTAATGTTTTGTCTGGCTGTTATAAGCTAAAGTGTGGTATGAATCTGTTGAGGATTATCGTTGTTGTTCAATTTTGTTTTGCTGATGAGAAGTCTGGATGGAAGGTGATGGAAGGAAAGGGAAGCCTGTTTCGGAGTTATTAGCTACGAAGCAGATATGATGCTAACCTGAGTAAAGATTGTTATTTTTTAACTTTTCCACATATGATAGCCCAGACATTAACAGCAACTTGCCTTAGCAGTTTTAACGTTTGGAAATATACTTTATGATTAACTGGTTTAGGAGTTGACAACTTAGTGTTTGGAGGATAAGTGTGGATTTATGCTAACAGATTCAATGAAATTCTAGTCTCCATAATTCATGTGAAGTTATTGATCGCATTTGGCAGATTTTTTTGTTTTAATTCTTTTTATTTGATCATTGTTTGAAGTTATTGTAAAATTTTGAAGCTCACAAAAGTATGGTGCAGTTCAGTCAATAGGTGTTCGTATTGTTCACAACTTCTACTCTGTACTTACTTTCTACATTTCTGGGGAAACTGTGTTGGTGTTAAATTATAGATAAACCGCAGATAGATTAATTGTGTTACTTATTAATGCTTCTTGTTTCAGGGTTGCAACTTAGCTGCTCAAAGAGATAATAGTAGATTCTTTTTTATTGACATGCTTATGTCACAGTGTCCAGGTGAGAAAAATAAGGTAATAATATCCAGTTCTGTTTTGTACCCTTAATGCTTGTGATTCTATTTAATAAATTTAAATAGGAGTGGCTCTATGCAGAAGGTAACCAGCAGGTTTTTAACTGTGATGATCCTTGCAAACCTGCCAGCTCTTGACAGTTTCCCCTGACTTTCTGGCTGATCATCATAAACTTCTCATAAACAAAAATAATTTAGACAAATTACCTTCTGATGAGAAATTGAGGATGTAATAAGCTGCCCGGTGGAGTTGGGTCTACTGTGTATACACTTACCCTTTTGTTGTTTATTTAATTATATGGGACTTTCTAGGCTTCATAAATAGTAAGAAGGGGCAGAGATGCGTTTCAAGCAACAAGGGTATCGAGGCAAAGTAGCCTCCAAGCTCAATGGAAGTCATAGTATGTGCCAAGTCCTGGTTGGAGTCTCTAGGCGTAGTAACTAGTAAGTTTGTGATAGGTAATTGTGTGTTCATCCTGAAATGTGTCGTGCTTAAAGCAGAACCAATAGCATATGATGTTATCTTACCTTTGGGACTACTAGCAAACTGAGAAATTTCACATAAACTCTTTTGGACTGAAAAAATAATAGTAATTACTAATTGCAAATTTCAATGATATTGATGATTAGATGAAGGAAAGCTTGCTCAAAATTGGCTTATCGTTCTGTTTGAGAAAATTGAAGGAGTGATCAGTTCATTACACCCAGACAGCAAGAAACTTGTTACCATCATGATAGATGATGTATCCCTTTTTCAAGTGGCTGCTAACGGCTCTTCAAATGATGTTTTGGACTTTCTGCATTACTGCCTGACTTTAACATCAGAATTTGTAAGATGAATATCTACTTGACAACTTTTTGCTTGTCGTTCCATGCTTTATTTCAGAGCTCGTGATTTATTGCTTGACTTCCAAAGATAAAATCTCTTTATTTAGTGCCCAAAGAATTTCTCCCTATCAAAATGATTCTACCTAGGTTTAGTCATAGTCACCTGACAAATAAGCTGATGTTACACAAATGAAAGGCCATGTGACTATTAACTATTGAGTTGGAGTAGATTTCCATAAAACAACATTGTTTAATTTTCACAAAGTATATTGAGATCGTACATAAAACATCAGGGACTTTGTTACTGCTAATTGGGTCTAAATTGAGACGGCGTGTTGGCAGAAAGCCAAACCTAGGGAAGTCCAGGTTATGCATTAACTACCAAATGGTTCCCATTTTGCCACATCAGCAAGTCTTTTGAGTGACCATGATTTTGCCAGACAAAAGGATCATTTTGATTGGGAAAAATGTTTCAGTTACCAAATTGGGAAGATTTATTTCTTGAGGACCCAGTTGAGAAGATAGTGATCTTTTTGGGAACTAAATAATTGATTTACTGTTTCTTTATATTATAGGATGCTACATTTGTTGCGCTTGATCATAAGGATATCTATTTGGATGGGGAGAGACCTATACTTATTTTAGAAATGGAGCACCTTGCAGACATTTTGATCAAGGCTGAACCATTGGTTACGGGTTTGGCAAAAGATGTGCATGGGCAGGTATACTTTTTCAATGTAAAATATTCTTATCGGTTGTTTATTTGACTCTCTTTCTGGTGTTAAAATTTGACTCAAGATATTTGGTAACTGTATTGTTCTTGAGAAACTAATATAGCTCTGGGATCCGTATAATATTCATGTGCATGTTGATTTAGTGGAGATGGTCCATATGATTCAATAGGCAACAATCTCCCGGCTTAATTTTGTTCCTCTTTATCATGTACATCCAGAAGCTCTACAGAGATACTTGACTACTGGTGGCATTTACTTAGTTTGACAATGGAATTTGCTCCATTATTTTTGCTTGACAATCTTTCTTATTGGAACCATTTTATGCAGTTGACGGTGATGAACAAGGAAACGCAAAATCCTCAAATAAGCTCACCGATTAAGATACGCAATTTTCACTTCAGGATCAAGGAAAATGGCATAGAGTACTTTTATCCTGGCACCAAAGCCTAGTGAATTATGAAATGCACGTGGGCACAGCTGTTTAGTGTTTACTTGTAAAATTATTAGACTAATGCATTGTCTGTATTGACCATTGAGTTTCTTATTTGTCCGGAAGTTCAGTGGTCCAAGATTATTGATGATAATTAAGGATGTTGATATTTTAAAATTTCAAAAAAGTATCTGATAGGGGAATTGTTGAAGAAGGGTAAAAGAGGGGGAAGCATGGAGATAAAAGAGAAAGAACCTGAAATTAACAAGACTGAGACTATCTTTATTCACAAGTCATGGGAAATCTTATTAATCCTACTTGGATATCTAATTCAAAATAACCTCCAAATCCTAATAATTTAATTAGTGTTTATTTACAAATCACATATCAATACTCTTTGTAGAATTATACAGGGTTCAAAATACCTTGGAGCCAATTTTTGAGAGTCTGCCCTTTGCTTCATTCGGTTAACAGCTCCATTTTCTCTTGATATAACAGACCGATAGGCTACCTTCAACCGTGGTATCCCTTTGTAAATAAGGGACATGGAGAGATGGCTTCTGTCCGTGTAATAATCTGTGCGGAGTCACTTGGAGATGGGTGATAAGTGGGTATTATACCACCGTTTTGCCAATGGAAGCCACTTGCGCCGATTTTCAGGCTTTTCCTTATGGCAAGCGACGCAAATAAGTTTCTAAACATCAATTCAACACTCCAAATTGACCATCCCTTTGAGGATGATGTCAAGATGTCAACTTTTGATCTATTCCCAACACCTTCAAAATTTCCTTTCAAAGCTTGTTGACAAAGATTGAATCTCAATCACTGATAATCTCTGCTACCGTACTATGTGGTTTATGTTGTCTAAAATTTGTTGAGCTAATGTAGAGGTTGAAAAGGGATGAGAGGTATAAATTGAGCATATTTACTCAATATGTTTATAACCACCCAAACCGTATCCTTTCAATTTCACTTGGTCAGTCTTTTAATAAAACACACAGTGATATTCTCCCACCCCCTACTGGGGATAAGAAGAGGTTGTAGTAAGCATGGATAAGACATGGTATATTTACACCTTTCATGTGTATCACAATACTAAAAGTCTTTGATACCAATAGGCATTGGTTGTAGTGGAAAGGGTTTTGACCACTTGGGCATGAGACCTCAAGTTCAAGTCTGCGTAAATGTAAAGAATGCCATTAGGAAAATTATCCTTAATAAGTCTAACAATGCTCAAACTTGACCCAATTGGATAGCTATATGAAATGAAAAGTCTTTGATATCTTCAAATAAATTCTTCTACTAAAATAATGACTTTTGTATTATTTGTCGTAACACCTATACACTTAGCCTACATTTCAAACCTTTAGTCAAAGGGATCCTAAATCAACAGTTAATGCAACATGTGAGGGCTCTGGATTTTTTAATTCCATTGGTCATAAATAGGCATGAACAAAAAGAAATCCTAGATATCGTAGCTTAAGTCCATAAATGAAAGCAAAACAATCAATGTCCTTGGTCATGGCAAATAATAAATGATAATTCAATATATGTTTGCCGAGCACAAGAGCTATTGATTCATTACTCCAGTACCTTTTCTTCCTATATGATCCTTTACTTGAAAAATATTAAATAATGGGGTGAACACTAACCTCTTGGTAACCCAAAATTTTATACAAACCAACAAAACACAATCATATCATCCCTTCCTATTATTATCATAAAATATCATATAGTAATTCATCATAGTTATATACAAAATATGCAATTTATGCAACTTACATAATTGTTTCGTTAAGCCTTATATGGTTAATTGGAACTATAACTTATCCATGATTTTGACCCATACTAGATTGATCAAACCTTCTCTAGTGATCAAGATTTACTTGACCAAAAGTATAGAATTCAAGCTCATCTCGTGGCTTCTCTCTTTAAAAGACTACATCAAGATAAGGAGAAAGGCCTCAGAATCACTATGCCATGTTCTCCTTCTACAAATTCAATCAGTCAGGTATTAGGAGATGGTGCCCTGTTAAAGGCCAACAATTTTGTGCAAATTGAAGGCAAATTACACGGTCACTATATTGTATAATATCATCATAATCATCTCTTTAACTGTTTACGCATGGGGCAATGCCTATCATTCATGTAACAAAACACAATGCATACAGTGCATGGAAAAAACTAAAATACTTCATTGAATCAATAGGTTCAATTACATGCATGCTTGAAAGAAACAAACTAATCTAAAATTCCAAATAAATAATTGTGACACAAGCATGCTAGAAAAGGAATTTATGTTTCTATTTTGTAGTGAGTAAAGCTCTTGCATTTTGTAAAAAGTTTCTTGAATATATAATCATCTACACATTTATTGTTCTTGCTACACCTTCACTATCAATCATTTGTTTTTTGAATAGTTTATATTCTCTGCTCATTCATGGCAATATGTAAGGTCTTGACATCATCTGAAAGAGGATAGAATGTTAGTATCCATTTTTTGATGATTACAAAACTTAAAAGTGGAATGTTCTCTAAATTTGAATAATTGAATGTATATAATAAACCTTGAATTCTAAACATATAACTCGAGTCTCAACTTCATTCATATACCTTATATGCCACAAATCTCAACAATTATATGCTCACCAACTTTATCCCTTGAGTCATAAACTCAAGGTTAAAGTCTACTGCCAATAGCTTTTAATATTTATAAGTTGATTCTATTCATGATTAAGTAACTTCGGTCATTAACTCAAACTTCAAGTTAATCTATTAAGATCAATTTATATACCTTTTTGTTGAGTCCAAACTAAAAGTTATATTATTGACCAGGTCTCAAAGAATAATTGTTTCGGATCATTACTCAAGTTTATGAAGTCATAATGTTCAATATCATTGTGTAGTTAATCTCATATTCCTAACAAAAATTGAGTTTTAATTGGGAGTTGGTATTATACTTTAAACTTTTTATCTTAAGTATCACTAACTAAAAATGAAGCATTCAATATGTGCTTTAGTGTCCATATCGTTTGCTTGAGTTGTAACTTGAAGTTTTGTGTTTAATTTTACTACTCTATTCAAACTTCAAGTAGCCTAAGTTTATGCTAGACATAATGTCTTTGTATTCACAAATCCTAAGACAGTTCAAGTCATAACTTGGAATCATGTGCCTACCTCTGTTATTCTAGGAAACCTCATGTTTGCACTTAAGTATTTATATTATCATTTTTCCCCCTATTCAAGTCACAATTAAAAGTTGTTAGATATATTCTTGTGTCCAACCAAAGATGAATTAAATACTAGAAATTTTGAATTGTCAATTCGAGTCTAACATCAAGTTGTGTTTCCTCATAATAATGATGTCTACATCAAAAATTTAGAATTTGATCAAAATAATTATATTTTCTTCCAAGGAAGACAACTTTATTTTATAGATAGCTAATATTTGATGCTTAACAGCTAATTTATCTACCAAAGCCACTTTTTATTAGAAGCATCAAACACACTCAGAATGATCAAGTAAAGACTTCAACAACGAGATCAATTGAAACACCCTACCTTTAAGACACTAAACTTAGTCTCACATATTATTATAGTATCTGATGTGGTAATAATAAAAGCAACAAACCAAAAATTTCCTTTCTAAACCAATAACCATGATAGAAAAAGGATGACTCATACACCATTCTATCATGGTTATCAAAAGAGTACCTGTCACCGATTACCAATAAGAAATTAAATAAGTTCCAAGGAAGAGGATACCGCCCTTTGGTAATAATTTACCACTACCTTAATCATTTTAGGAAGGGATGCTGCCTATCCAAAATGATTGTAAAAAGAATCATAATCATTTGATAAATATTTCCACTTATTTAAATGAACCTGTTCACATTCTTGTGGATTCACAAATAAACAAAATAAAAAAAAGAAGCAAAGCCAACAATTCCAAACCCACTAATTGAGTACAATTCAATTCAGCAATGATAAGATCATAATAAATACAATTTCCCAAATTAACTGAATGAATAGAAACTAACCTAACTGTCCTATGTGGCAATTAATAGTAAATCAAGCGTAATAATTATGGAAGGCTGACTACTCATGAAAGTAGCCTCATGCCTCTAGAACTTTCCTTACTGCATCTCCTTTGCTGCTCTCACCTGAAAAGTGATAAAAGTAATGAGGTGAGACAAAACATCTCAGTAACTTAGTTCCTATCTACCTTACCCACTGACACTACCTGTGAGATGCCAGGTGGAACTCGTAATTTAAGTGGATAACTAGGTGATTAAATTGACAGTTCAAGCACATCATAAAATGTTTATAACAGCAGTAAAGCTATAGTGATAACAATTCAAAGTATTGCAACACAACAGATTATACAACACATAAAAGTTCACATTCTATTTTATTACTAGTTCTAGCCTTATCTCCTCCTTATTCCCGCCAACGTGAACCCATGGACTAATTGCTACCCAGCAGTGTGATGCGGACTGGCCAAAGTCAACAGAGCACATAGGAGCCATAGGTTCCTCTAGTAGGGGATGTTGTCCGGGTATGAACTATTAGAGTGTTGCAAGCCTAGGGGATACTGCCCCAGCAAAGAAAGTGGCCAACCACTGAGTGCCATGTAGTGGTCGTGCCACGTGGTCACAAATATTATGTCTCCATCACAACCTCCTCTTTTAATAACAATTAATCAATCCATCTTAATTACCATCTAATTAGCCTAAACAACTACTTCTCAACATGATGGATCTCACACAAATCGTAGAACAAATAGTTAGGCTTAAGAAGAGAGTTACCTGGTATTCCCTTAAGTACTCTCGCAAAAGCAAAGTTAGGCTTCACAACCTGATAAGTCCCATCGGTAAGCGAATCTACGAATAAAAAAATTCATTATACTCTATCGTAGTCTTAAAAAAAATAATCCTAGATTTTGAGTCCTAAAATCTCCTGTTTAGCTATTCGTCTTTATCTGAGAACATATGGTTCTCTCTCTCTCTCTCTCTCTTTAAGGTTAGAGGAAATTCTTAGAAACTCAACAAATTACTTTACCAAATTATTAAACTAATATTGAATTGTGATACTATACACCCATAATAAGACAAAAAAGTTTGACAGTTGTTCAATCAAAATCCCCAAATATTAAATATAGAAATATAATTATCTATATAGTTATATTTG